CCCTGAACCCTAAATCCTAAACCCGTTTTGGGGGGTGGTCAGGGCTCAACAGCCCTGAACTTGCACCAGCTCAAACCTCAAGCCCCCCCCAAGTCGCACAAACCTGTGCGCCGTCAGCCTGTTCAGGGTTTAGGGGGTTTAGGGNNTCTAGGGGTTTAGGGCTTGGGGTTTAGGGGTTTAGGGTTTAGGGCTTAGGGGTTTCCCTCCTGGCCGCACCCCGCGACAAAGTACCAATACTTATTACCAATTCTATGATTCTAATAATCACAAGAGTATCCGTCCATAGAACAGCTATCTCATAAGAAAATTCCCTGACACCCTATAAAACCTTTATCACAGCCTTCTGAAACCTTCATAAGAGCCGTGAAGATTTCCTTCTAAAGCCCGTTCAGAACCCTTGCAGGAACCCTTAAACCTCAAACCAAACACCTTCAAGCACAAATCCTGATGGCCTACACCCCAAACCCCAAACCCAAACTCTAAAACCCCAAAATCCGAAAACCCTTAGCCCTAAACCCTAAGCCGTAAACCCTGAAACCCTAATTCCTAAACCCTGAAGCCTAAAACCTAAAACCCTAAAACCCTGAAGCCCCTAAAGGCCCAAAAGCTCCAAAGCCCCAAAGCCCCGATGCGAAATCACTGCTGCCAAAGCCGCGGGAGTCGAAGATCTCGCGGGCGCGGATCTGCTTGATCTTAGCAGCCATGGCCTTGGGTTTAGGGTTTAGGGTTTAGGGTTTAGGGTTTAGGGTTTAGGGTTTAGGCACGAAAGCTCCATAAAGGATTCCCTTTTTGGATCTTAGCAGCCATGGCCTGGGCACGAAAGCTGCATAAGGGAGTCTGCGCAAATACGGGGACCTGATTTTGGGGGGGTCCTTATAATAAGGATCCTACTATTTAGGGTTACTACAATAGTACGGTCCCCTATTTTCGGAAAGCTCCATAAGGATTCCGTTTTGGGGGTTTAGGGCTTGGGAACGAAAGCTCCTTAAAGGGGCTTAGGGCTTGAGGGCTTGAGGGCTTTAGGGCTTAGGGGCTTTAGGGTTGAGGGTTAACGGGCTGTAGGGTTTAGGGGTTTAGGGTCTAAGGGTTTAAGGTTGAGGGTTGAGGGTTCCGGATATCCCTTTGCTTGTAAATGGGCGTCGAAGGGCCATATGCAGGTCTTTAAAAGTTTCTTTTTAGGGCTTCCAAATGGCAAATCGAAATCAGGATTTTGGTAGTTTAGGGCTTGGGAGGTCAATGTGATTAGGTATCCTTTCAGGATTCCCTAAACCCTAAACCCTAAACCCTAAACCCTAAACCCTAAACCCTAAACCCTAAACCTTGTAGGGCTTCTACATGGGCCTGTGAGGGCTCTCCACGGTTTTGACGTTCCGGGCCCTTGGGGGCTTCAGGGTTCTACTTAGGTTTAGGGTTTAGGGTTTAGGGTTTAGGGTTTGGGGTTTAGGGTTCAGGGTTCAGGGTTTAGGGTTTAGGGTTTAGGGTTTAGGGTGATTCTACTTAAAGGATCATGGGACTTAGTAACTGGGGTTATACTTAAGGTAGCTATACTTTATAATTACTTATAATTAACCCCAATTAAGGTAGTTATAACTCTACTTACTAAGTCCCATGATCCTCCAAGCAGGTCCTTTCGAGGTCTTGGAAAAGGGGATACCGGATCGGGGCTCTCTTGTTAGTAGGAGTGGGGGCATACCCTCAAGCCCTAAACCCTAAACCACTAAACCCTAAACCCCTCAACCCTAAATCCTAAACTCTAAACCCCTCAACCCTAAAGCCCCTAAAACCTAAAC